ATCAAGAACAGATATCACATCATATAGAAAAACAGCAGCGAGAATTGGCAGAACAAAGAATAATACTGCAACAGCATCAAGTTGAGTTAGTAAAACAAATTGAACAGTTAAAAAATACAATCCTTCAACGAAGTCCAAGATGTGCAAGACCTGATCTTGGTGAAATAAGCAGAAAACATTTATTGTCCCCAAAAGCCAAAAAATTCTATGAAAAAATTGTACAATTAAAAGCAGAGAAAAGACGTCTAAAGAGACGCGTTTATCAAATTAACCAACAAACGTCATCAAAGAATAAATAAAAAAGGCAGAAGTGATACAACTGCAACTGTACGACAACAATTTATAAACATGATTTTGAAGAACAATATTGTTGCACCACAGGTATAATCAGGGCCACCAAACTGCGTGTACCAGCGTTAGTGGCGCTTTCTATAATAACGTACCTGGCATATGAACTAAATACGAATGTGTAAGTGAATACATTTCAACACGTTTTGCCGTTAGTTATACGCGACCATACGCGACTACATTGTGCAGTTGTTAAATCACTTTTGTTACATTTTAATAAACATTAAAGATGGGTAGAACATGTTGCGTTTCTACTTGTAAATCTGGGAGTAATGTACCAACCCATTCATTCCCAAAAAATCGTGAACGTCGCAAGTTGTGATTAGACAATTTACATATACAGCAAGTAGATGAACGTGAAATTCAACAGTTGCAAGTGTGCTACAAACATTTTTGCGACAACGATTATAGTTGTTCCCCAAACAAGACGTGTTTTAAAAAACACTGCAATTACGATACATATATTAACAACATATTAACTGGTAAAATACAAGAAGAATGGGATGCTAATGTTATATAATACTCAAGCTAAAACAATGTCTCTGAAATATTCTAAAAAAAATAAAATAAAATGTTGACATTTATATTTTATATATTTATAATATGTACGTTATATATATTTATATATATTTTAATAAATTATGACAATTAAAAAAAACTTATCTATTGTTTTTTTATTTAAAGCAAAAATAATAAAATAGTGTAATAACCTAACCTAACCTAACCTAACCTAGATGCGTATATATGTGTGTGGTGTATGTGTGTAACACATAGACGTATAAGAAATAGACTGCGCGTGTGAGAGGGGAAGTGAGTCAAACTTCGGAGTGAGACAGATGCTTTCACCCGAGTCTCTGTCTCTGTCTTTCAGCATCTGGAGTGGGGACTCCCCACTCGGGAGACAACTCCATAGAATGT